TTTACGCCGCACTCAGCAATGTTGCAGCTATATGGCGGCGCAATTGGGACACGATGACATATGTCAATCAAGTCAACGAGCTTGAGGCCCATTAGTCGCCTCTTACGACAAGCATGGGCTTCTGAAGACCAATTCTAACCGGGATCGTCACGGGTCTGTGGTCATTGAAGGACTCAGATTATAATTATAATAATAAATGCATATTTATAATGCGCCCCTTCCACATCCTAAGGCATGCTCAAAGAGCTACAGAATATTTACACAGGAGTATTTACAGCTGAAATTATACGTAATATACTGAGAAAAGATGGGTTTTAAGTCTGGACTTAAACATGTTAGTTGTGTCAGAGCTTATAATGGCACAAGGGAGAGAGTTCCAAAGCACAGGTGCAGAGTAAGAGAACGATCGGTGTCCAAAGGATTTCAGTTTGTAGGATGGGATGACCAGTCGAAGTTGCGTGCAGGGACAAGACAAGAAGGAGGGAACAAAACCACGGAGGCACTTGTATGTCAGACAGAGGATCTTAAAGTCACTCTGGCCCTAACTGGTACCCAATGCAGTTCTTTCAACACCAGTGTTATATGGGAACGTTTAGAAGTCTTGCTGATGATGCGGGCGGAAGTGTTTGGGATCGTTCCAGGGTATATTAGCTTCACTTGTTATCAGTTGTCAGGGGAACATGAGGGGCAGGGTTAGTATCTGGTTGAAGTACAGAGCTAAAATTCATCGGCAGAATTTCAAACATATCGTGTCGAGGAGTGTATAATAACGATAAGTCTGTATAGACTGGAAGCTGGCTATTGAGGGGGATACTTTGAGGCACCCATGCATATTGTTCCAGAGGATAGCTGACAAGTAGGAAAAACGTCGATGTCCGTATGTCTTCAGACGTGCATTTGGGACGATGAGCAGCGACTGATTGGCTGATCTAAGAGTCCTGGGTGCCGTTGTACAAAGCAACCTTAGCGCTACGTCAGTCGTAAGTCTGTGTTAGGGTATGGGAGTTACGATCACCTTAGCGCTACGATCGCTTTGTACAACGGCACCCTGGCTGGAACGTACTCTTTGACAAGACTAGGGAGATAGGATGGAGCATTGTTAAGACATCTATAAGCCATGCTAAATATCTTGTATTCTATCCTGGCTGGGAGCGGTAACCAGTGAAATGTAGGACTATGAATGTATTTACCATGCACTTTCTAGTCCATCTTGTTATTCCAAGACAAGACCAAATATGATTGTAACGACTTCCTGGACACACAAACAAAGTGATGCCATTGTACGTCAAGCCAACATGTCAAATGGTGACTGCAACAATTTTGGTCAGGTTAGATCCAGACTCAATTATTCAAAGACCACCGCCACACAGCTGTAATATTGCTGTGTGCAGCGTTAAACAACAAACACAATAATTAGTTACACTGTTTTATAGCTAAAATACATGAAATTATCATGAAACGGCCCTCCCATTATCAGAAATTTGCGGGCCGCTGCAAATGATATTGGACCGCTCAACCTTACCCCCTGGCTGCCACATAGAAATAACCGTGTGTTGTCGCTGTGCCGAGTTTATTTGAGCGAGACGTTATGAAAACTGCATACATTCGTCTAAAATGTACGTCAAACAGCATCGGCGTTACTCACAATGTTCAAAATCCACACTGTAAAGGTTCATTCATTTCCCGTTATGTCTATGTAAATATTTTATGGCATTGGCTTCATTATGCGTAAGAAATAGCTCGTCAAAAATGTAGAATATGTATTTTTTCCAGAATTTCCACGGCAGCCATTTTTTGTGCATTGCGCATCGGATCATTCGTGCGTCTCGTTAGCTTGTAAATTTGCAGTAATAAACAAAACGAAAACATATTATGGAAGCTCGTTTGATTCACAATTACCATGTTGAAAATGAAATATGTAGCGGAAATAAAGCCAGCGAAATCGTCGATTACAAATTCGTTGAAGTTTGTATGACGCCATTTGGCGCGTAAATTGGTTACACTGCAACGTTTTCCCATGGATGTCTTGTCGGAAAACGCTTATGAACGGAAAAAACTTTTCGTGATATATGAATGAAATCTTATACCTGAAATCTGCAGTTAATTGCCACCGTTCTCATATAAAATTTGACGTAAAACATAGTCTGTAAGATCAGTATTGACGTTTTTCAAGAAAGAGGGAAACGAATCAACAACTCAGAATCTAAACTGAACACACTGCTGGATTTTTTTCGGTGCAGTAAATCTATATTATTAGCGGCCATTATTCACTTGAATGTTTAAAAAGGGTATTTCAGAAAATGTTGAAACAATCATGCCCCCATGAATAGTTTTTCTTTTACTACTTTGGCACCCAAAAGCATTTATTACGGTCCCTGTCAAGTCGTTGCTCAAAATACTCCTACCGTGCGATGGCGGACACGTCGACGAAATTTGCATACAGACGAATGAAAGAGTTAGTCTCGTATCTGTATGATTAGTGAAAGACGTGTTTATATTTTCATTTTCATTTAAAACCATTATGGTAAATACAAGTAGAAATGTCACAACAAATAGAAAAATACTTGAAGCAGAAATACTTCGAAAGAGCTATTGTCTTGTCGACAGCTTTGCATATTTAAAAATGTCGCCGACAATGTTCAGCGGTGTGTCGGAATTCGGATTTACTTTATTTGGTCCTGTAGTGTTTTATTCAGTTCGACAGCAACCGAGAAGGTAAGTGCCAGAACCTTATGTCGTAATCGTGGGGTAAATGTGAGGGATTTGGCTGGGTAATGCATGGAATCTGCTATACTGTAGTAATTTGTACACGATAAACGCATTGACCTCAACGTTCTAGACGTTATGCTTAGGTTATGTTTCCAGTTTTCAATTCCCGTCACTTTGTGTTGCTATCATGCAGTAAGAAAGGCATACATCGCAATGTTATTGTATTACCTGATATGTGCACAGTAAATTTGATTTAATTGCGATTTTGTATTTCGTGAATGTTGAAAATTTGGTCGAAATGAAGATCTGAGTCTGAACAGTGTGAAACATTTTGTTGATATATTTCTTTCAAGCCATGGTCGTGTTGTGACCTGTTTATGTCCATCTTACATTTACATGGTGACATCATTTCAGCGGGTAATATAAATTTAAATTATTGTTTAACTATGCATACGTGTTAATGTTTGAATGATTTGATAGGCTGAAAAAACGGGCGTGAAAATAGTTCGCCGCGAACTAGATGTCTTCTCTTAGGTCCGCGCCTGCTCGTGACATTTACCGCACAAATGGATTTGGGTTACGTTATTCCAGTTTCAAAAGTGAACTTTAGATAAGTTATGGTAAAACTGATGAAAACCAATAACTATTACTGAGTATTTGTTATTAAAAAATTCACAAATACGAATGCGTATATCAGTGAGTAAAGATTTATACAAAACTTCACCTTTATTAATCCCACAACAAGCGATGTGTATTAGTTGTTATGTATTATGGAAATAAATATAAGGCAATTAAACAACATTTCAGTCATAACAAGAAATTGGTATCAAAGGTTACAAGTGCTAAAATCTTAGACACTCCATGAAATAAGACTAAAATCTGTGAAATTGTTTTAAGAAATTGTATTAATCCACTATATATAAATAAACCTGTCATCACCTATATTAAAACAAAATAAAGGTAATACAGTACTTTCATTTACACTTGTTAATATTTACTGTATATTGAAACATCACAATCTCCTTCCAAGCATCCAGTGAATGTTTCAACATTAGTGTCAGTTAAATCAGGTTATGGTTTTGTTATGATTATCTGTGACCACCTTTACTGTATTTATTCCTATTCCTGTATATAAATTATGTTATATTCTTGTGCACTTTTGAACCATAATACAAACATGAATAATCAGATAAATTGGAATATACTGATATCATTGACTTGTTTTACTTCATATAAGCAGTGTAGGAAAGATAGCCCGTCCCAACGTCCGAGACGGGTGAATTTTGTGGAGGACGGGTTAAAAAAATATCTAGTCCGTCCTCATGTCGGGTCAATTTTAGCAAACCAATGACATATATATAATGATTATAACCTTTTTGAATATTTACTGCCGAAGGTGTTTTATTTATATTTGGAGGACAGGCTAGATTTTGGCAGGACTGGTAAAAGACTTGACCTGCCAGTCCTGTGGACAGGCTAGATTTTCTACATCTTTCCTACACTGATATAAGTATATGTTTCAAACATGAAATTTAATTAGGGTAGTTATATTACTTGTTAAATTACAGATAAAAACAACATAGTGAACAAGGAATTAGTAATTGAGGGTGTTCCAGACTCCTGGTTTTTGAGTATTTTGAAACTTTGCATTAGGTTGTTATTCAAATGTAAGTAAAAATATAAAAAAATTGTGTGTTAAGTACAATTTTCAAAGTATATTTAAAAAAAATACAAGTTACATGTATTGTCACAAAGTATCCATTACAATAAGTATTTTCCAATAATGACTAATTTTAAAAGTATGTCTATTGTTATTATTTGTTGTTTTATGCCGCACTCAGCAATATTCCAGCTATATGGTGACAGTTTGTAAATGATCGAGTCTGGACCAGACAATCCAGTGATCAACAGCATGAGCATTGATCTACGCAATTGGGCTACGATGACATGTGCCAACCAAGCCAGCGAGCCTGACCACCCGATCCTGTTAGTTGCCTCTTACATCAAGCATAGGTTTCTGAAGGCTCATTCTATCCCGGACCATCAGGGGTTAAAAGTATGTTTTAGTAACAGTTGAGATTGGCATGTGTTTTCTGGTTCATTCAAAAGTAAAGTTCTCACAACTTGTAACTTTAGTTCTAATCAGATGTATAAGACAATGAAAAGAAATCTCTCATTATATGCATATTTATTTACATGAAAGACATTTGGTATAATTAGATATTATACAATAATTCGCCGTGATTTTGCTTCAATATTGCAAATACGGCGTAACTCATATTCTCACAATCAGATAATATTAAGGATATTTACAGGCACTACATTTGTATACAATAATTCGCCGTGATTTTGCGTTAATATTGCAATTACGGCGTAACTCGTACTCTCACAATCAAATAATATTGGGGATATTTACAGAGAAAAAATGTATATACAAAAATTCGCTGTGACTTTGCTTTAGTATTGCAATTACGGCGTAAGTCATACTCTCACACTAAAATCACATCAAGAATATTTACAATCAATATATTTATATACAATAATTCGCCATGATTTTGCTCTAATATTGCAAATATGGCGTAAGTCATACACTCGCAATCAAATAATATGAAGGATATTTACAGACAATAAATTTATATACAATAATTCGCCGTGATTTTGCTTTAATATTGCAAATACGGCGTAAGTCATACTCTCAAAATCAAATAATATTAAGGATATTTACAGATAATAAATGTATATACAATAATTCGACGTGATTTTGCTGTAATATTGCAAGTACGGCGCAAGTAATGCTCTCACAAAATTTATGTACAGTGGACTTAAGCACACAGATGGGGAAACTGCCTGAAGGGATGATATGCCAGTACATACAGCCATTCACTCTTCAATGTGAGCGGCTGTGTGATACTGGCTGAAACAGCGGGCACAGAGGCCTACAGTGCAATCAGGACACCAAGTCCTGACCTTCCCTGCAGAGCCATCTGTGGTCCTCTGTCGTTTTCTACAGAGGACACACTGTTTCCTCTTCCTTCCAGGCAGCACTTCGATGAAGTGGCGCCCGGTCAGTCGTCGGGAAGGAGGCTGGGTCCTTGGTCTGCCAGTCCTCCTAGTCACATGAGTGTTCCCGACGAGTGAGTGGAGAAGGGACATGTGGAAGTCCAGACGGGGGGTCGTCCTACCATGGGTGTTCATGAAGGTCTGATAGGCATTAACTGTAACGTAAAGATAAGAAACATTGAAGAATTATAGCGAATAATCACCAGAAAAGCTCATTCTTGATGAATCACTATAATCAAAATATATCGGAAGTGGTACCAATTAATATTCAATAACTCTATTTTTTTTAAATTGTGTCATCAGCAAGTACACTTTGAGAGCAATAGCAATAATTATATGAACAGATCCATTACTTTACCTTATTGATGATAAGCAGACACTACAGTATAATACCAATGAGTGATGATTATGAGTTCTATGGGGAAAAAATCTTACCTGAAGCTGTGAGAAGAAAGTTGATTAAAATGTTCTTCCACAGCTTGACGGAGCGGACTTGGGGATCATATACAGCAATAAGTTGATCCCCAAGGTCAACTCCCCCCATCAGGGTGTTGTATAGTCTTACGACTGAGGGGAGAGTGACAGACCGGCCCCGTGAGTTAAGCCCATCTTCCATTCTGTAAAGAAAACATTACATGTTAAGAATTCAATAATCATGTCAGTAAATTCAAAACATCTTCAAAAGAAAATTGAGGTATTTCATACTCATAAAACTGTATCATGATATCATGTGCTTGAAAGATGATAACCACAAGTAATAGAAATCATACTGACTAAACTGCCAAACAGGATAATGAAAAGTTTAAAATAGTATATACCTTGGACTACCCATGGTAGATAAAATTGTGAAGACCCTCCTGTCTGAAAAGAACACTGCCAGCAGTGGACCCTGTCTTCTCACAATTGTCGAGCCCCTGGGTGATCTTTTCCCAACAAAGGAGCTCGGCATTCCCTTCCTCCGGACGGCGACAACTCCTGTGCAGAACGTCTTCCTGTCAAAGAGATCATGGCAGAGAGACGGACTGCTGAAGAAGTTGTCACAGATGATGTGGTGTCCCTTGTCGAGATGCGGTTCCATCAAGTCCATGACCACACTGTGCCCAAGGCCTGCCTTGGGTGGTGGTCCTCCAAGGTTCCTGCCCTTGTAGATCCGGACTTGATGGGTGTATCCAGTACCTGCCTCGGCAAGGATCCACAACTTCACTCTCCATCTGTGTGCTTTCTTGTTGGCCATGTATTGAACAAGATGATGTCGTCCCTTAAAGCCAACCATCCTTTCATCCACGCAAACACTCTGGGCCAGCCTGAATAATGTGAAAGATCTTGATGCAAACATTTCAATATTTATGCAATATTAGGTTCATGTCATCATTAAATTTCATTTAGTCATTTACTTAGATGGGCTTTAATTGATATATTGACTATGTCTAGATACCATGTCATACATTTCATCCTAAAAATTGTTAAATTTAAACTGGAAAATTTAAAATAGCTTACCGGTGAGTGTTTGCGAAGGATCCATTCACAAGATCAAGGACCGGCCTGATCTTGTGGAGGGGGTTGTGACCTGGCTGCCCTCGGGGCACTGCAGCAGAATTGTCATTGCAGTGGAGGAACCGCATGATGATTTGGAAGCGGTTCCTCGACATGGTTGCCCCGAAGGAAGGTGTTGGTGCCAGCCAGTTCTTGTCCCCCTCATTCCAGTAGGATGAAATGGTTGGCTTCCTGACGACACCCATGCCCAACAAGAGTCCAAGAAATGCCAAGCCCGAGCCCTGCTCTGCGGCGATAGAGTGCGGCCCTGCAGGTACTGCTCTGCATACCTGTTTGTCTCCCTGACCAGCAGGTCGAACAAGTCAACACCTCCATCCCCTCCTCCCAGTTGCTGATCAAAATATTGGATAGGAGGGGCATCTTCACCTGAAAAATTTATCATTGTTTGTATCTAAACCTGTATCATTATTACAAACCAAGATTGATCATATCTTCGCATTTTGCCTACAATCAAAATCTTTCATAAACATTCATACATACCTACCTATATCTTTGATAGATACAAGCATAATGTCAATAGTATTCAATTGATATCCACATTTATACCTGAACATGTGTAACTTTGCCACGTACCAAATTGAAGAATATAACAATTAAGTTATTTCTTATGAATTGTATTGCCTATGTTCATTAATGAATACATTCATTTTATGATAAATCATGTATCTTAGTATGTCATTTACTAGTATTTGTTTAATGTACTGTTGACATGACTACCTGGAGGGTTGACAGGGCCGCAGTCCCCCGGCAAAGTCAATGTCATTGCCGAGGTCAAAGCTGTCTGTGTCCAGCACAGGCAGCCAGGGGCCACGAACCATTGGTTGGGCCCCTCTTTCTTCTCCATCTTCTTCATCTGAAAGTTGTGATAATTTTTTGCATCAGTGGGGTACAAAAAAATGTAATATGTACCAGTGTTCTCAATTAAATATTTAAGGAAAGATTTATTTTCATTTAGAGAGTGTTTTCATGCAAGTAACACAGGAAAATATATTAATGGGCATATGACACATGCTCATATAAAGCATTTCCCAGATTGTTCACAATATTTTCTTAATGGGGCAGGTAATACACCCTATATATAATGTGACACCATTTTGATTTTTCAGATTACATATTCTAATATCATTGGGAAAAATATTATCATTCTTTGCTCACCCTAGTCATTCCTCGTTGAAAAAATAATTTGACTGTACTGAATACTTATTTCTGCAGCATTTATTTCTCAGTGCTTCATACAGTGAGAATTAAAGCTCAACAAGTGTTGGATGATGGATTTTCATATTGTTAGAGGGGAGATAATGCAATTCTTTGTGTACTGTATTACCTCCCTTAGATATACAAATTATATTGGCAGATTATCTGAAAGATGTATCATGATGCTACTGTATGGCACCAGTGTGGTTTCTAATGATTTTCTAATATGATGTTGTGATGGTCATAGTGGAGAATTAGCTCAGCAAAGAGTCTGAATTCACCAGAAGTATATTGTCTTAAATATTTACAAAAAATAAAAAAGGGTATGACCACATAGTTATTAAAACCCTCTGGGCTGTGGCCTACAGCTATTCTGTTTTAGGTAGTTTCAGGGTTCCCACAGGCATGGCAGGTCAAAATTCCTTGACTTTACCCTGACAAGTATAAAAAAATGTTCCTGACCATGTAAGTGTAAAAACTGGCCTCCTCCCTCCCTTTTCAGTCAGTCCTAACCACTGTGTTTGCGTGTTAAGATATTTCCTTCACACATATCATAAATACACATAGTATTTGTTAATTTATTACATTAACCAAAACATTGATATTTGGGATGAAGAAATTTTTCCTTGACTCTCCTGCCATAATGTAACATAATGCTATTAGATACATTTGACCGTGAACATGAAATATATATTCTCACTTGATGTCAGTAATATATCATCTGAAAACTTTGTATTTTATATCAAAGGCATTTGACAAAGAGCATAAATGTGAAACTAATGATTTAATTGAATTGTTTCTTTCAAAGTCAGGAACACATTTCTTCATTATCACAAAATGTTGTAATTATCAAAGGCGTATTTGGAAAGAATAAACATGCAAGATGTCACTTTACATTCAGTACAACCATGACAACTAGAGTATGAACACCATTCAACCACTTTCAACTTTGTGAATAAACAGCAAATGTCAGAACATAGGGCACATTATAAACCAGGGATAGAAATACTTTTTTTTCTAAGTGTGCCTTAGGGCACCAGACAAATATTTTAGGTGTGCCTTTCAGAAATCGAGTATGCCAACATGTTTTTAGAATAAATGACAATCATGATGATCATTTGAAATTTATTGTTAAATAAAGAAATGGGTTTATGGGCATTCAAATATGTATGGTATTATTTATTGTGGAAAAAAATATTTGTTTTGAGGATTAAATGACTAAATGAGAGTTATGTCTCTAAAACATTAGGCGTGTCAAAAGGGCACCGAGAGCATTTTTCAGCCGTGCCATTTCAATATTTACTTTGCCATGGCACACTAATATATGGGGTATTTCGAACCCTGTAAACCTAGACTGTACTTTAACAAAGAAACTTATATGGGTATTTTTGGCCAAAATGGGCTTTCACAATTTGCAAGAAACCACCATAGCCATCATACTATTTATAATATTTTTGAACAGTATACAAATGAATGGAAAATTATCAGTTAACATAGTTATCTTTAGACGAGGTGGATCTGTTGCCTATAAAGAAAAATGTTTTGAATGGCAAACAATTATCTATTGTTAATCACTATGCCTATCTCGGACTAGTGTTTTTCCATGCTAAACAAGAGTCATCAGAAGATGACAAATCCCCCCGGCCCATACAAATATGAAAGAGCAAATCATCTGACAGTTACTTAAAGTTGAACTTCATTTTTTTAGACAAAGTCTAAAACGTTTCCATGGCAACCAAGAAAAATTAAAATGACAACAATCTGTACATAGTCAAAGGCACCACTTTATTTTCTGTTTGATATATCTGCAAAATTTTGTTGAAAAAATTTTGAACCGCTTTTCGAGTTATGCTCGGAAACAATATGTTTACGTCATCGGACGGACAGACGGACAAGACGTCGACTATATCCCCATTACATCTGAAATCACATGCTAAGAAGGCTCTTGTCAAATTTATGTCAGTTTCCAAGAATTATTTTTATATTAACCCGGAAAATATGTTTAATACTGTTTAATTCACAAATCGAACCGATTGTGCTTCATAGAAATATCAAAATTCCCTGAATTTTCCCTGACTTTCAGAGAAATGCCAGATTTCCCTGACTTTTCCCTGACCTGTGGGAGCCCTGAGTTTATACCCCACTTTATAACACTTTCATTTTCTAAGTATTCATTTTAAATAATTAATGAAACGATAAAAAAATTATGTTTGGTTCATTATACTTTATTGGTTGTGCCCTACAATAACATAAATTACAAGGCAGAGTGGAGTAATAAATCCTGCTAACCCTACTTGACTCAAGGCATTATATTGCACAGTAAACAGTGTAAACATAGGTTTTTGAATATCAAGCAATGTTCGCTTCATATATTATGTACATAAAGCTATTCCATATCTCTATGTAGGAAGTATGTATGAAAATTGCGAATGAGCTCCCATAACTTCGCAGTAGAAAATGGCAAATACCAAAACATAACTTTTGTTAATCGAAAGGGTTTAATGTGTAAAGATGATATTTAAGATGAATTGCATTTCATGTTATATTGTCCATCATATCATAGATATAGATACTGTTTTTATTATTATTACTATTATTATTAGGTCTTCAGACGAAAGTCTGGAAGACCTACTGTTATTATCCGAATATTCTTCTTCTTCTTCTTATTATTATTTGTACAAATTTTGTGACAGCTCTCCTGACCTAACCACTTGGTCGATGTTCGTGAAACTTTCAGGAGTGATAGCCTGTATGCTGAAATTGATACATAGTCGAAAAAATCCCGAATTCCGGCTTCCGCTAAGGGCAGATAACCCAAAATGTCGAAATCTTTGAACCTCAATATCTCAAAAACTATAAGGGATAAATGGACCAAACTTTCACTCAATGTAGACAACACCATTCCCCGTCGATTCAATACATACCTAAAGTTGGCCGACAGGTCAAATTTTGCGCTATTTTGAAAAAACTGATTTTTTTTGCCGATTTTCACGTTTTGACGGTGCCTGTGTTTGAAAATCTTCTTCTCCAGAACGGCATATAGTACAATCGTGTTCGATATATCATTTTAAAGCCCACACTCTGGACTACTTAAACCCTTCAAGGCATATCGATATCTTGAATAGTTTAAGAGTTATCACCCTTTTGAATTTGGTCAATTTTTCTAAGACGCATTTTCATAGGGTTAAAAAAAAGGTCACAACTCTGCGAAAAATCAATGGATTCCATTTTCCTAAGTACCATCCTGTAGGTAATTGAATGGGAAACACTTTTGCTTCACATCATGAGTATGTAAAAATCAATAATTACGTCACCATTACGACACAAAGACAACCTTCGCGATTTTGCACATTTCCGAACTTTTTTTTACGGTGCCTTTGTTTAACCTTCTTTTGCTCCTGAACAGTAAATAGTACAATAGTGTTCTATATATCGTT